CAAGACTGGTGACTCATATTCTGGGCCGTCTTAACACCTCCCTTTGTTAAAAAAGTTGACCTCATACGTTTGGCAATTCGGGTGCAGCAAAATCCTGTTAGGGGGCTTCCAGACCTATTGAGCCTCTTGACGGCCTGGTAATAATCCGTCTGACTATAATTTCTTTCTGCTTTCGTTAATGACTTTGCTGCATGCATTAACGGCTGACTTTTCCTATTCACATTCTTTTAGAGTGAGATGGCGCTCAGTCCATAGTCACAGACGTCGGTTTGGATGATAGTTTCATTTATAGATTTGAGATGGAAGAGTATCGTCGAATGATTGGTCCTAGTCTTGATCGCCATAAAAGTTTATTGGCACTTCTCTGACCAGATGAATGGGTTATTCCTACACAAAATTTGATCTAGAAGTCCCTTCAAGATAAGAAGTCTCTCAATGAACGGACCACAGTAACTGATAAGTCCCATAAAGGATAGTAATTCCTGAACATTCTGTGGAGTTTTTATTTTCTGAAACGTAAATATTCTCTCAGGGTCTGGCAATCTTCTGGTCGCGTTTACTACACGCAAAATTCACTTTTTTCCGTGTTAATTTTGAGGCTGTAGTCAAGGATATTTTCTGTGACCTTATCAAGTCTGGAGAAGTTCCTCGTCTGTTCGGCCGACGAACAAGATGTCGTGCAAGTAGGCAATGGTCGCAGGGACATTGGTGAGCGTAGTATCCTTCCGTTTCTGAAATAGGCTTGGTGCCGTTTTGATGCCATATGCGTATACTTGGACAAAGTTTTAGGCGTATTAATGATCAACATTCGTCGATCAATCTCACGATATTTGGGTGTTCATCTACCTATTCCGATCGCAGAATGGTAATTGCGCTTCCATTTTCTTCTCGTCTGTGATTGTTTATTCGGATAAATTCCTAATCATCCACTCCAGTTGGGATTTGTTCTCCCGTTTGGGCGATATGGTTGATTGACGACCGTAGCTACGGCTCTTTCGTGAGTTAGATCACTTACTGTATGTTGCTATAGGCGAATCAATCTACCCTAGAAGAGCTGTTATACAGCCCAAGTTGAAGGAGAATGCGTGGAGCAATCTCACGATGTTTGGGTGTTCGCCGATTTGGGCAGTATCGTTGCCTGATAACCGTAGCTAATCCGAAAGCAGTCGTTACAGTGTCTCCTCTCTATTAGGCTGTTATTCAGCAGATATGCAGGAAGGGCATGCGTAGCCTGATGGGTGTTTTGTTGTACAATCGGCTTACGAGGGCACTTTTAGAATTCACATATTCCAGCAGATCAGCGAAAAAAAACACTTTCTAACCACCAGAATTTCAGACATCAGCCAGTCAAACGTCCAATTGGATTTTGCTGTATACGAGTAACCAGTGCAGCAAAACGTTCGCAC